TTTGAAAAATTAACTAAGGAAGTCTTAACACTTAAACAAAATATTGGCGCCAAAAGGAAGACGTCATTTTCCCGCCAAAATTTAAAAATTCGAAAAAGTGAAACGAGAGCATTTCTTAGAATGAAAAGATCTGTCAAATATAAAATATAAGACCAGTTTGTCACAAAACACACAAAATTACAATTAAGTGAGCGTTTTCGACGCAATAAATCCCCACCGTAAACTTGTAACATGATACTGTAAATAAAGTAATGTAAAACTGGCATGCTCTATGAAATCTAGTCAGAGTGAGCGTGCACCCTGAGAGAGAAGGTTGCACATGTAAGAAGTTATAAAATAAACTGTTAAAACCGAGTGTGTTATTTACGGTGCCTCGCTACGTTACAACTGGTGGCAGCGGTAAAATAATAAAAAAAGACGACGTCAACGAAGATGGCTTCGAGCATTCTCCCATCCAAATTCGATGGAGACGATATTGTCGCATGGCTAAGAGAGTTTGATGCGTGCGCTTTAGCCAATGGTTGGAAAGACGAGGACAAAATTAAGAAATTGCCAGCGTTTCTACGAGGACGCGCAGCTACACATTTCTACGCAACCCCTGTCGCTGAAAGAGCTACATACGACGCCGCAACAAAAAAGCTAAAGCAAGCCCTGTGTCCGCCAGTTGAGAGGGAAAACTATTACGCAAAATTTGAAACCCGAATGCTTCGCACTGGTGAAGATCCGTCGGTTTACAAGTGGGAGTTGGAACAACTGCTAGAAAAAGCCGATCCCGACCTCGCTGTAGAAGCCAAATCTGCTCTTTTGTCCCGCCAATTCATGCGTGGTCTGCCGAGCTCTATACGAGGAAAACTTTTGGCTCACAACCCCACACCAACCTTAAGCGAGATGCTAAGTTTTGTCCAACGTTATCGAGCGATCGAAGACCGCCACGTCCCTGCACATACGAGCGCAAGCGCATCAACACACAAGCAGACAGCGGACATGGACCAACTCGTGGGTTTAATGACCGAACTGGTAACTCGACAGAAAGCACTCGAAGACCAAGTGGCCACTTCCCAGCAGTTATATGCCGCAGCAATCAAGCAAAACGAACGTCCACGACCAAAAGTTACGTGTTTTCGATGTGGAAAACAAGGCCACATTGCTCGACAGTGTCGCAGTTCAAGCCAACGCCAAGACCGTTCCAACGTGCAATGCTACGAATGCGGGAGATACGGACACTTCGCCCGTGAATGTGGGAACTATGCGCCTTTAAACTTCCAAGGGCCGTCTCGAGGAACCACAGGCCGGTAGACAGCCCCGAAACAAGTAAGAACTGTGACTTTATTAATAATTCTACTAATGATTTTAATGATAGTTTGCCAGAACATCCATTTGTTGCCTGTCTCATTGACGGCGTACCTGTCAATGCTTTGTTAGATACTGGATCAATGAAGTCCTTTATTAGCGATAAAGTTCATAATATCTTTGATTTTGACTGTGGTCGATTAGATAAGTCGCAGTCACAGCGTTGTACCTCAATTACTGGAGGGGACTTAAATATTGCAGGAATCGTATCTACGAGCGTGACCTTTTCACGCTCTAAACATAACTATCATAGTTCTTTTCTTGTTAGTAGTAATATACCGTATGATTGTGTTTTGGGATGGGACTTTATTACGCAGCATAAATTAAGTGTTCAAGGGGATTTCTTGGGAGGGCGAAGTCGTTATCAGTTAGTGGGGACCTATGGGAAAATCCCAATACATGCGGAGCATCCAGCAATGAAGGTGCAATCGAACGGAGTTGTGATTACAGAGGCCAAATCACGCGTTGTTTCCCCCAACGAAGGGAGCAAAACCAATGCGGTACTTGTGCAATCTCAGTTGAAAGGTGTCAATAAAGTAATTCTGTCGGAAGGAGTGGCAATTCCGGCTCGATCGGAAATGGTAATTGAAGGTAAGATACAGGCGAAAGATATTTCACAGGTTGGCATGATATCAGCTAGTCAGGCAGATAGTGTTAGACACTTACAAGGATTACATGTAGCTCATTTAGTTGTCACCCCTGTAGGTAAAACCGTACCAGTCCGAATAGCTAATACTACAACAAACGAAATTGAATTACCGAAAGGCTGCAAATTGGCGGAATTTTGTCCCATACTTGGGCAAGAAGCCGTATCCAACAATAAATTTCCGGTTAATTGTAATGCCGTGCAAGCAGATAATCTTGGGCAGAAAATCGATTCCCGTTTAGATGCGGGTTTAAGTAACTCCGAAAAACAACAAGTAAAACAAGTATTAGGCGAGTTTAAAGAACTGTTTAGCGACACAATTGGCCAAACCAACATTGCACATCATAAAATTGACACCGGTGATAACCCGCCGATTAGGCAACGTGCCAGGCGAGTGCCATATGCATTTCGCGAAGAATCTAACAAGCAAATTGAAGACATGTTAGATAACGGAATAATCAGTCCTAGTACCAGCCCATGGGCTAGCCCAATTGTCATGGTTCGCAAAAAGTCAGGCGAACTACGTTTTTGTATTGATTACCGTAGACTTAACCAGATTACACGCAATGACGCACATCCTCTGCCAAGGGTTGACGATTTACTTGACTCGGTTGGGAATGCAAAGTATTTTACCACACTAGACCTCAAAAGCGGCTACTGGCAAATTCCCGTTCACCCTGATGACCGTGAAAAAACTGCCTTTGTCACGCATGGCGGCTTATATGAATTTAATCGTATGCCTTTTGGCTTAGCAACCGCGCCTGCAACATTCCAACGAGCAATGGAACTAGCTTTAGCTGGCCTTACATATAGTATTTGTCTTTGCTACTTAGATGACATAATTATCTTTAGTAACAGTATTACTGAACATTGTAACCGATTAAAAGCGGTCTTAACTCACTTCCGGCAGCATAATTTGCGCTTAAATTTAGCAAAATGTACTTTCGCAGCTAAAGAGGTTCACTATTTAGGACATATGATATCCGAAGACGGAGTTAGCCCGCTCCCGTCAAAAATTGAAGCAATAAAACAGATTCCTGTACCAAAGACAGTGAAGGAAGTCCGAAGTTTTTTAGGGTTGTCAGGATACTACCGCCGTTTTATTAAGGATTATGCAATGATTTCGGCGCCTCTCACTAAATTGACCACGAAAACCAGCAATAAGCAGTTTAACTGGACCGCAGATTGTGAACACGCTTTTACAATTCTAAAAACATGCCTGTGCAATTCACCGGTTTTGGTCCATCCTAAATTTGACAGAGAATTCCTCCTACAAACCGATGCCTCGGATATAGGATTAGGAGCAATCTTATCTCAGCTTGATGACAATGGCGTAGAGCGGCCCATTGCGTATGCCTCAAAAATTTTGTCTGGTCGAGAGCGTAAGTATTGCACTGCCGAAAAAGAAGCGTTTGCGGTCATATTTGGTATTCGTACCTTTCGAACGTATTTACTAGGCCGGCCTTTTAAGGTAATAACGGACCATAGCGCACTCAAATGGCTTGACAGTATGCATCTCAAAGGACGATTAGAGCGGTGGGTAATGGAGTTACAAGAATTTCAATTTTCAGTCGTTCATAAGCCAGGTAAACTACACAGTAATGCTGATGCACTTTCTCGTCTTGTAGCACATGACCAGTCTACTGAGAACACGTTGAATACATTTAACTCGCATGACCCTGCAGCAGATAATAGTAACTGTGCCATAACGCTTAATCCGACTATAAACTTAAGGAAAGCTCAGCAAGACGACCCGAGTATTTCGAAGGTTATCCAAATGAAAACAAACCATACACCAAAACACAAACTAGCAGCATGGAGACATGATCGCAATTTAGTAACATTTTGGCATCATTACGATAAACTGTTTGTTAGAGATGGGTTGCTTTATAGGTCCTTAAAGACAAAGAATACACATCCAGATCCAGCCATAGTGGTGCCCAAAGCTCTAGAAACCGAAATACTGAAAGGTACTCACGACAGTCCATTCACCGGGCACTTGGGGGTCACACGAACATTAGATCGCATTAGGAAACGTTTCTTTTGGCCAAACATGCGGAAATCAGTTGAAAATCACATTCGCCAATGTGACACATGCGTCAAAAGGAAAACACCAGCACTGACGGCCAGCAATGGCACAGCCCCATTGCAAAGTTTACAAGTTAGCGAACCATTTACATTTTGGGCTTTAGATTACATGGGTCCCTTACCAGAAACAAATCGTGGTAACAAGCACATATTGGTTTTAATGGATCACTTCACCAAATGGTGTGAAGCTTTTCCTACGCCGGATCAAAAGGCATCTACTGTCGCAAAAATACTTGTTGATAGAGTTTTTAGTCGTTTTGGTCTCCCAGTTGTCTTGCACTCTGATCAAGGTGCAAATTTCGAAAGCACGTTAATGCATGAAGTATGCGATGTAATGGGAATTACAAAGACCAGAACAACCGCGTATCACCCTCAATGTGATGGGCAAGTTGAGCGACAAAACAGAACATTACAAGATATGTTAGCGGCATTTTGTACAAAACAGGGCAATGATTGGGACTTATGCCTAAACGCAGTAGTTTTCGCGTACAACACTAGTCGACAAGAATCACTACAAACCTCTCCATTTGAAATAGTTTTTGGACGTATTCCAAGATTACCGTTAGAATTAGAATTAGGACTCCCACTGAAAGATCCCAGTACGCAATCAGAGTACACTCAGTCGCTTAGGAAGATATTTAAGGAGGTGAGGGAGGTAGCAAGGCAGAATTTAGAGAAAGCAAGAACAAAACAGAGAAAATGTAACGAAGAAAGAATTCGGACATGGAGCCCTTTCGCCCCAGGGGAAACAGTATACCTGCGCAGACCGAAAGGATGGAAATTGGGGGCGAAGTGGATTGGGCCATTTGAAATTGTTTGTAGGATGGGTGTTGATTACAAAATAAGGTCGAGCAAAGGTAAGATTACGGTGGTTCATCATGATCGGCTAAAGCGTGGTTATGCACCCGTGAATGGCGGCAATGTTGTTTGTCCTGCTCCAGAACTTGGGGGTGACCGGGTGGTTTACACTGCTCCCACAGACGACATTCAACCTAATTGCGACAATGCTCCACATATCCCACAGGTTAGGCCTAGGAATCTCAGGCAAAATGTTCATCCGCCTGATCGGTACGGCTGTGCTGCGTAGTAATACTCCCAGTGGAAACACAGTTGTAATTGCAATTCTTGTGGGCAAGAATATTATTGTTGAGGGATGGTGTAACATGATACTGTAAATAAAGTAATGTAAAACTGGCATGCTCTATGAAATCTAGTCAGAGTGAGCGTGCACCCTGAGAGAGAAGGTTGCACATGTAAGAAGTTATAAAATAAACTGTTAAAACCGAGTGTGTTATTTACGGTGCCTCGCTACGTTACACATGTACATATTTCCTATTTTAGTCCTGTTTTAAATACACAGCTATCTGAAAATCAACCTTTTTATTTTCAACCTTTTTATTTTTTCAAGGACTCCTGCTCCTATATGTAACATAAAGTTTTTACCCCTGCCCCTATATGTAACACGACTCGTACTGAAATTAACTTGAAAATATTACGTCACTTCCTCTGTCATTAAACATTGCGTCATTGTAATTGCCCCTGTATGTAACACTCCTATCTATATGTAACATGCCCCTGTATGTAACATCACGTTACCACCTCATATGGCAGAATTGCCCTGCCAAAACCAATGATGCCCTGCCGCACCAGCGTTAATACAATACACTAAGCCACGTGTATAATTGAACTGCCAATGTACATGCATATGAACTGCTTATTTCTTGCTAGCTGTAATAAATAAAGTTACTTTTGAGTGCCCTGCCAATCGGGATGATTTGTATTGGGGGGGGGGGGCTCAAGTTTGCTCCTGCGTATAGTGTGATTTTCTTCTTTGATGCATGTGAATAAGTGGATGAGTTGTGAATGTTCTGGGTATTGTCTTCTCATCTTAACTTTCATAACTCATCCACTCGTTTTCCCCCATGAAAAGTTAAATTGAATTAATTTTTACAGATGTCCAGTATTATATACCAGTAACTCAAATATACCTTCCTCCATCTAACCGTTTACTACGTAATGTTGATGACGTATTTCTAAGACGACTAATTACAGAGATGGAAGGGAATCCACACGGGGCGTACGAACCGTTGTACCTACACATAAAAAATGGCACAAAGGAAGAATTTGATATTGCAAAAGCTTCGGAATACCAATACGAAGTTCTTGGTGGGACGCACAATACACTGGCCGCCAAGGAATTGCACAGAAGACACCCAAAAGAGCCTGCGTTCAAAGGACTGTTACGCCTGGATATTTTTCGATTTGTCCGATGAAGATGCCTTGTGGTTAGCTTCTAGACATAACAGGACCGGATCGTTTAGACATGCCATTACATTTCAGGATGAAGTAAGTGAATACAGTACAATTATAGAAAATAAAGTTTAGGCGTTGTTATGGGGCGCTACATGGACGTATATTATCTAATGTCACTTCGAATTTAACAGAAGCAAACAAAAACATATGCAATATAAGGAGGTTGTGATATCCAGAATTATTATATGGCTTTTCAAAATTCTCTACTCTGATTGGTTGACAAGCGGTCCGTAAAAACCCATATGCGGACCGTGGTCTGTATTTTCCGTATCTGGACCGGTGTCCCGAATGTCGTTTATCTGGCGGGAAATTTTTGCTTTGCAAACAGAAAATATTTTTGCTTTTTAATTTTCCAATTGTGTGTTATTAAAATTTACAGATAAAAATTTCAAACAACCAAATCGTTTTTGATTGAGCATGCATGCCATGCATGCGTAAAGCATATGCTCACAGTCACAGACTCAGCCATATAATAAACCGATTATCAGTTGACCTCGCTTGTTCGGTCTGTACTGTGAAATATCAGACCTCTGTTTTTTTGCATGGACCTCGCACCTTTAAGAGACTATTAACCAATCAGTTATATATATCCGATTAACCAATCAGATGCGTATTAGGCTAGTGCGAGGTAGTGGTAGCGGTAGTCAAATCTGCGCCTCTATTTAGCTGTAAGCTACTTGTACTAGAGCCAATCAAGACATGTATTGACTGCAATAATTATTAATCAGGGCTCAATATATCGGCCGGTCAACGGACAATGACCGGCCAAAATTGCCTCTTGACCGTTCACTTTTTTACCTCACCGGTATTGACTGCAATAATTATTAATCAGGGCTCAATATATCGGCCGGTCAACGGACAATGACCGGCCAAAATTGCCTCTTGACCGTTCACTTTTTTACCTCACCGGTCATTTTGACCGGCCACATTTTCATACCTTTCCCTAGAATTTTAAATCGCATATGATGTCTGCTGAAATATTGTCAGAGAAAAACTGTATATTTCATCGCAGGTATGCAATTTCACCATAAGTATGTCGAGTTACGTGCGACAAAATTGACAAAGACTATCTATATAACGTGTGAAGTTTATTACCCAATATTGAGCTTGTTACATTGTATGTATAGTAAACATAATTTTATTTACCTGACATGCGCAATTTATTGATAATTCGCGTGGCTCCATCAAGAGTAAAATTTTATTTGTTTTGATCAACGTTAGTCACGTCATGCGGTGGTATCATTTAAAGAAATAGTAAATTAGAGTGATGATGATTTAGATCAAATTGAAAATTTACTATGATCTTAAATGTGTTTTTCAAATTAATCAAATTGATTTTAAAACACTTAATTTTGAATTAGCATTCGTTTTGTTGATACTTGTCTTCCCTACCTATTCCATACGATAAGATTTATCCGAAAGCACTGACTGGATTAACGACGATAACGTTACCTGTTCACCTTTATATATATAGTGATTGCTAACGTCTTGGGCGTTTAAAACATGACAAAGCAATAAAAGTTGTCTCGAGACAAATTTCTTATAACTTTTTTTCACTGTTAGTGCATGAGTATTAGTGACCGGTCAAAAACAGATTTTGACCAAGCTAAAATCAAGTTGACCGGAGACCTATCGGCCGTTATATTGAGCCCTGATTATAGTTAGTTCGCGATGAAAATATTCAAAGGAAATAAGGTATACAAATATGAACGATTTCCTTATTTTTAATCAATTAGCAAACAAAATATTTTAATAATTAACTTAATGATTAAAATCAATTAAGGCGGCGATATTTTTTAACATTTAGGTTAATGTCGCCTACCTCCAGTTACCAAACCACGGGAACTTGACAGACGGGAAATACGTTCCTAACACTGCGTGGCGAGAAGCGTGCTCAAGAATTTTAGGAAAGGATGTATGTATGATTGTTTCCATAAAATTATAAACTCAAAAAGCTACATTTTGGGTTGTTCATTATTGTACCTCATATAGAGAGAAATGAGAAGAGGATTAGATGGCATCATTGGACTTAATCGCACATGAAAAATTGTAAATTAAGCAAAGGCAAGTACCCCATTGATCAAGTATATACTTTCTATTTCTTCCCAGAAAAAAACGCTCAACGAAGTGTTCGCTGTTGCTTCTCTTCCGGAGGATGGATGGAAATTGTTTAACACCATATGCGGAAAGTACGAGAAGGGTGGCCTCAAAAAGCAACAAGCTCTTCCAAAAGACTTGAAGGGAAAGCCAACCTTTAAACCTGTATATATTCGATGCTTGCTGGGGTTAGATGTTGCTGATAGGCTAGAATTGTTAAATAAGGTATGTAGTTTATTCTATTGATGGATAAATTCTAAATAACATCTGCATAAAATTATCTATCTTTACGATGATAGTGAACTAGTGAAAAGTGTATTTACTGATTTCATGTGCGGTAAGCAAAGGGAATTTATTTTATTGAAATATAAATTACGAAACGAATATTAGAGCAAAACGTTCATGTTTCTATGTACATTCATTCTAAGAGCATGGCCATTCAGCTTTCCAACAGTGGGTTGCTTCTTAAATTTAATCCTACCCAGCAAGCTTAGTTTTACTCTGAATACATTTTAGATAACATTGCTCTTCACCTACCCTGGATTCCAGAGCCTTCGACAGTAAATAATAAATTGAAATGTCGCGAAGGCTCTGGTTCAACGGGGCGATTCTTTGATTAAACCGCGCCAATCACAAAACAGAATTAGTGGTACAGATTCTGTACTAAAACCACACTAATTCAGTTTTGTGATTGGCGCGGTTTAATCAAAGAATCGCCCCGTTGAACCAGAGCCTTCGCAACATTTCAATTTATTATTTACTGTCGAAGGCTCTGGAATCCAGGGTACTCTTCGCCAGAAGTTGCGTGCAAGTTGCAACAAAAATTACCTCGAGTAGCATGGCCTTAATTCTAATTTATTTGTTTTTGTAGCAACGTTTCCCAAATAGTTTATATTCTCATAAACTTAATTTTTCGCTGCTCCGCTATTATGGTTGCCGGATTGTAGCAAAATTCAATACACACAATTTATATTCAATACACACATTTTATGTTCAATGCACTCTTAAAATATTCAATAAACATCTTATATACAATAATTACCGAAATATTCACTATCTTCGCAAAAACATTCAATAACCTACATTAAATATTCAATACAACATCTGAAATATTCAGTAAATTATCTCCGAAGACTTCGAAAGGAATAGTGATAATAGTGGAAAGCGTCCTCATACTTCTCAACTTCTGAGTGGTGAGCAGCCGTCAACTAGCCATCTTGATGTTTAAAGTCAGCCTACGAGTCAGACTCGTCTTTGTATGTACTATAAAGTACATATAAGAGTATTACTGTAATACAGCAAACTACATTAACTTACAGTAAATGATTGCAAGTCAAAAAGCTTATGTGCAGTGTTTAATTACTGTCAACCAATAACCATTTCCTGGTTCAAAGTCAGCCTATAAGAGTCAGACTCGTCTTTGTATGCACTATGTTATAAAAAATTACTGTATTAATATAGCAAACTACATAATGATTGCAAATCAAAAAGCTTATGAGTTACGTGCAGTGTTTAATAACTGTTTATACATATAAGTATCTACTTTATTTACAGATGAAAAGTATGATTAAAATACTTCTATAAAACCGAAAGTAGGTTATTGAATGTTTTTGCGAAGATATTGAATATTTCGGTAATTATTGAATATAAAACGGTTTATTGAATATTTTAAGAGTGTATTGAATATAAAATGTGTGTATTGAATATAAATTGTGTCTATTGAATTTTGCTACAATCCGGCAACCATACTCTTTTGCATATTATTAATTCTGTAAAACGTTTATTTAAACAAGTTTCTATATATTAGATATATTAGATGCAGGGTCTTAGCTAGAGGGCCGTGTTATCGCGGCCGAAAGTGGAAAAATACGGCTATAGATAAATGAACGCGGCTTCATTATTTATATAAGGCTGCGTAGGATCATAAAATATAGTGTTACTGCTTACAACAGACATAATTTCTTCCTATTTATGTCGTGAGAAAGTTTGGAAAATCTACTGTAGTTGTTGAAATTGGCAAAACTGATCCGTGATGTTGTAATGTTTTGATGGATAATGGGAACTGTATGGTGTTAAAGTGGTTTTAAGGTTACTTCACACGATGAACGTGCGTTTTAGTCTATTGGACATTGCTCAATGAATTTTAGATGTAACTTTACCAAATTTTCAGTGAAAAAAGCCAGGAAAATGCTGATTCCGAAAATTTTCTTTTGATGGGTGTTCTGTTTAAACATTTTCAGTATTGGCTGACTGAGTAAATATGTAGGTACCTTCATAAAAAATCAAAATATGTTTATAGTTTACCTCAACGGTTGTTTAGATATCGCAATTCAAATCTTCTTAGGCATGGTAAAAAAAACGTGTGCGGAAAATTTCTCTTCTTTAGTGGTTTTTCTGATATGCCCTGATTCTTGGATTTGTCACTGATAATTCACGAAGTTGTCAAAGAAAACGTCATATCAGAAAAACCATTGAAGAAGAGAAATTTTCCGCACACGTTTTTTTTTACCGTACCTATGAAGATTCAAATCGATATATGTAGACAAACGTTGAGGTAAACTATAAATATATTATTTGTGATTTTTTATGGGATACTTATGTATTTCTTTTGTCAGCCAATACTGGACATGTTTAAACAGAACACCCATCAAATGAAGATTTTCGAAATCAGCATTTCATTGGCTTTCTTCACTAAAAATGTGGTAAAGATACACCTAAAATTCGTTGCGCCATGTTCAATAGACTAAAACGCACGTTCATCATGTGAAGTAAGCTTAAATAACCCCAAGAGTTGCTGAAATAACTTAATATTTTAATGTCAGTGCGCAATATGAGTGTATGCTCGCCTTGTATATTTTACTCTATAAATTAAATTAAGGTTGCACATGAGGAATCTAGCCTTGACGAGATGAAAGCCATGGCCGTCGATCTCAAGGCCCTGAGGCCTGTTCAAAAAGCTATCGCATCATCACTTCAAAAACCCTGGGACGTAGTAGAACAGGAATATGGGGACACGGTTCATCCTTCAATCTTAAGACGATTCATTGTAAGTGTTAATTATAAACAAAAAGATCAAAACATGTTTTACGTATTTTATTATATCATATTGTCTTTAAAAAGACAGAGAATACTGCATTATATTTTGTATACAATGTTCCAGATAGATATTTTTCTCAAAAATGCATATTGCTTTCCCACAGATGAACGTTTGAAATAAGCTGTTAAAAACCATAAACTTCATTGTGACTTTTTCAAAATACTAAAGTCAAGATTAATTTCAAAAAATATTAGCCTTAGCCTTTTACATACAGCTTTGTTTTCCTAGGTTTTCCTTCAAAGACTACAACGATCAGGAGTGCCTGAGGGTAAAGATGAGGTGGACAATGAAGTTATCGTACATAAGACGGATGGCCCACTGGACATTGTACAAGGACAAATAAAAAACGACAAAGGCATTTCTCTTGCAATCTACAGATTGCCAAACAATATAGAAGAACAGGTAAACAAACTTGACAGAGATTGATATTCTGGCTGCATGCATGCATGTGCACAATAAATAAGAGTCACCTCACAAAAAATGTATGGGCACATTTTAATTAAAACTGTCAGTAATGGCTAATGCAGTTTATTAAAGTAAATGTACTATCATTTTATTGCTAATAACCGTTCAAGCGATATGCAAGGTTAATATGCATCCTTGTTCCCAGACCCAGGCTTGGGTGGCCCTGCTGTTCGACAATCCTGTTGAATTGCGTCGAAGTTCGGAAGCAGATTTTTGTGTCTGTGGATGAGGATGGCAGATATAATGCAAATGTTTATCGACATATTAATTTGGTGTTATTAATATTATTATTACAGAGTGCGCGTATTTTAGCTATTTTCTACAATTTGTAACGGCGATAAGTAATAAGAATTAAAGAGAAAGATATATTTTAGATAATTATTTTATATTAATATTTTTAGTGTCTTCACGGATGCATAGAAAAAGTATTGGGACTGGTGGCACGATTAAATTTTGGCCTGAAGCAATTTTATAACATCGTTATTCTCGGTTCAGTCGCCGATATAACAAAGGCGGAGCAACGGATTAGAGAAAATTATAGGGGAGAAAACGAAATAGGATTCTATGCGTGGAATACCACCACAGGCAGTAATAATAAATCAGGTAATAAAATAAGCATTTTTATACAACTGCTTTTGGCGATTAGAATAATCGGTAAAAGATAACAATCAGATAACAATATCAACAAACACATTTTTAGGCATTTCAATATATATAGGAATACAAACAGAACCTTGTAGCGGTGATGCTGGGGTTGCCGAACATTTTGCTCCACTGACTGGACTAAAAATGGAGTTGTTTGCACGTTCTTTAAATAGTTTTAGTTATTAGTTTTCTTTCTTGAAGAAAATCTTGGAATGATCAGTTGTGTGGAGTCATTTCTTATTCACCATGCAGCGGTTGGCAACAATGTTCTACCAGAGCACTTTAATTTTGGGGAGGAGTTAGTTTCTAACTTCATAGGAAATGGTAATAACAATGACATATTAGAGAGGCTAATAGGATTATTCAGCCAAGAATGCGACTGGATACTCGACATAAACTCGAGTAAAGGTAAGAGAATGTTACATTAAAGAACCGACAACAAGTTCCCTAAATAGTATAAACTATCATCCTCGTTTTCTAAAATGCATTACATTTTTTGCAGCATCCGCCACTCTCATGGCATTGAAAACAAAAAGAAACGCCATCTATCTTTGCGAAACAAACGATGAAGAATTTTATGTTAAAAGAGCAATATCAGACACCAAAAGAAATCGCTTAGACGGCTGACCTAAAACACGCAAAAATACATCAGAATTTCTGATACTTTGGACTGCCAGTCTCTGCAGTTTTAATGATATTTGAGGTATAGAGGATTTCAAAGGTATCAGAATTTCTGATACCTTGGACGTCTAGTTTTGGCGATGTCTGCTTAAGAGTGTTTAAACTATATAGAAAAGATTGTATGATACTTTTGTATATTTCCAACCCAATGGAGTGTTGCAAATTTCGTTATTTATAAGGCAGTTTAGTGGTTTTCCGAAAGGAGAACCATATCTGAGAAGACAGCCAAAAGGACGTAGTAATTTCGCGACCTTGGAAGAGCGATTGGCAAGTGATATATGTGAGCTTCATCAATTTTTTGATACTCAGATGATTACTACTGAATTAAAAGGGATGTTCAGAGGTGTAAGTCAAAATGACGAGTCAATCCGAATTTTTGACGAAGATGTATGTATGAATGATGTTGTTGGCAGTCCAGCTCGTTTGAACATGGCACCGGATATGAGAAGCCAAGTTTCATCCCTTCAGGCAAGTTTCATGTTGTTTTGTGACAAATGTATGGATGACATCAGCTCTCTACAAGCTAAAGTTTTGAAACTCGAATCTGTTGCAGGGCCGTAGCAACCGGGGGGGCTGCAGCCCCCCCAATAATTTGCTAATAATCATTCTTTTTTCAAAATCATGCAAACTTTATCATTTAATCTGTGACAAACTGCAAAGAATGAAGATATTACTCATACTCCAGATCGTTCCTCGCGTAGAAATTTTAGCTGAATTTCTGTCGCGCATTTTCAAGAAAATCCCACAAAATCTGCACATTTTTGATGAACTAATGATTTATTTTGTCTTTTGCGTGTTGGGTCTTGCGAAAGAAAACTCTCAAAATGCCATTTCAGACCATCTAGAGACTCCAGATTTTCGAAATTTTCTCAAATGTTCTGCCTTCATTTCCGCGCAACTGCCATTTACGACGAAAATTCCCGCCGCGCATTTATAATACTACAGTCTGGCCCGTACTTTCCTGTAAATTTCGACATACTAAAGGCATCCAGGAAATGGCATTTTAGAGACTCTAAATTTAAAAATTTCCTTGGGCCTTCGGCCCTCGCTTTCAGCCCCCCCAATCGAAAAGAGCTAGAACTATGCCTCTAAACCCCCAGTCCGACGGAATGGTGCAACAGTTTAATGAAACTATAGAACATCAGTTGGCAATTTTTGTGAATGAGAACCAGAAAGATTGGGATGAACATAATGAGTCAACAGGACTCAAACCAGCAAAGGTGATGATGGGACGAGAATTAAGAGTCCCTTTGGATTTGCTGATGGGGATTCCTTCTAATAAGAATTACGTGAAAAAGTTGTCTTATGTGGAAAAGGTGGAGGAGAGTATGGATATTGCACATAGTTTTGCACGGAAACGGTTGAGGGTCACAACAGATCGGATGAAAACAAGGTACAATATTAATGCGACAGCGGTAACACTGAGCGTTGGAACCCCTGTGTGGCTGTACAGACCACAGCGGAAGAAAGGACTATCTCCTAAACTATCCAAGCCTTGGGTCGGTCCGTATGTTATTCTGAAACGAATTAATGATTTGGTATATAGGATTCAACTTTCGAGTCACAGTAAACCAATGGTGGTGCATCGTAACCGTCTGAGAGAGTACGCTGGTGAGAATGTGCCCCAAGTTTTGTCAAGAGAAGAGGGAGTCATAGTCAGGCATCAAAAAGAACAGATGGCGCTGAGAAGAAGTACCAGAGAATGAAGAACACCAGTACGGTTGGAAATTTAGGGAACAGGGAGTTTTGAACAATAACTTTCTTCAAGATAAACGTAACTATATGTCTGTGTGTGTGAGTAAAGTCCACCTGGGACAGGTTGGGACTTAAGAGGGGAGTGTGTTATATGTGTGTATTTGTATTGTGTTATGTGTGTATGCGTGCAGTAAACCGTGAACAGAATATATTAAATATCAGTGAACAAAATGAAAGCGTTTGAGGAAGATCTTATTAATATGATGGAAAATATCCAGTTCAGAAAGATTACAGATACATTCCTTGATAATTTAGACAACGATCTTAAAAAGGTTAAATCATCGCCAAACGTGTTCGTGTTCGCAGATAAAACCAGAAATGTTTACGAGACACCGGCTGACAACTACAACAAAATCTTGAATGACAATGTTAGTAAAACTTATAAGGTAGTCAACAATGACATTTTAGAAGACATAAACTGTGATCTAAGGGACCTTGCAAATGATCTCTCCATCGGTAACTGCATTGAAACCATGGCAACTAAAGAAGCATTTGTGACAATTAAAGATCATAAAGATAATTTTGAAATCACCCCAACCTATCGCCTGATAAACCCAGCGAAAAGTGATCTCGGAAAGTTTTAGTAAAACCATTCTTGATGACATTAACTCACAAATTAGAAATAACATTGGTGTGCAGCAATGGAAAAACTCCTTATCAGTTTGGTTTAAGAAACAAACATAGGTACTCGTTTATTTTCTTTGACATAGCTGAATTCTATCCCTCCATTACAGAGGATCTTCTAGATAAATCAATTTCGTAGGCTTGAAATTATGTTACCATCTCAGAACAACATGTGTCAATATTTAAACATGCAAGGAACTCCCTCCTTTTCAATGGTGGTAACATCTGGAAAAAACCAGCGAGGCAACACCACATTTGACGTTACAATGGGAAGTTACGACGGCGGAGAGGTATGTGAGCTAGTCGGCTTATTTATTCTAAACTCCTTAGCTGAGAAATACGGGAAAGATTATGTTGGCCTTTATCGTGATGATGGTCTTATTTGATTGAAGGGAACTTCCAAACGTCTAGCTGATAAGGCAAAAAAAGATCTGCACAAGTTGTTTGCAGAGAACTTCCAATTAAAGATAACAGCCGAAATATGCACCAAACCGTCAACCTCCTTGATTTACACGAGCAGAGTTACAAGCCTTATCGGAAACCTAATAATGATCCCCTGTTCATCAACAGTCATTCGAATCATCCACCATCAATCATAAAACAAATCCCTCTATCAGTGAACAAACATATTTCACAATTATAATCTGACCAAAATGCCTTTTCAGCCGCTGTCCCATGTATGAAAGCGCATTGACCCACAGCGACTATCATGCACACTTGCATTATACCCCAAGCAACAACAGTAATGGCAATAAACAAAGACAACAAAAAATTTTAAAAGTTGCAGACAACGTCCCTGAATACATTTATTGACTAATTTTAAAATGTTGTTGTCTCGCCTACTCTGCAGAGAAGGCTACTTCAACATGTTCATTGCTTTATCACTCTCAGGTATTCTGGACACAATCCTAGCAGCATGCCATTGAAGCTTTTCCAGACTTGAGGCATTACCAGCACCACAGCGATCCCATACTGTATCACAATATTCAAGAATAGGGCGAATGAATGATACATAGACAATACTCGCACAGTGAGGTGTTAGATCATTTCTGATACGTCCTAACATGCCCAGTCTCTTCCCAGCTCTGGATAGGATATATTTGCTATGGGATTTCCACGTAATACATTCGTCAAACACGACTCCAAGGTATTTGAATTCGTACACACGCTTTATAAGACGACCATTCATGAAAATAGCAAACTCATCAACACAAGATAACCTTGCATGAGTTCCAAATAACATAGATTTGGTTTTCGAGGTGTTAACGAATAGGCCATTATCAAGTAGCCAGGTTCTGATAAGCTCGAGATCATCATTAAGCTTCTGTTGTATTACTGCAACATCTGAATCTGGGTAGAATAGAACAGTATCGTCTGCATACATTAATATTTTACAATTACGAACACTTGGAAGATCATTAACGTACAGAACGAACAACAAGGGGCCCAGTCTTGAGCCCTGTGGAACACCAGACGTTAGATACTCAGCCTCCGAATATACACCCTGGTACCCAACGATTTGATTTCGATTATGCAAATAATCCTCAAACCAAACAAAAGCAGATAGTTTACCCAGCAGATAGTTTCCTAAAGCAGATAGTTTACCCAGTAACACCGAGTGATCTATGCTGTCAAATGCCTTCCGAAAATGAATAAAAAGTGCCCCGGTCAGTTGTCGTTGTTCGATATTGCTCCGTATAGTATCCGCAAGAGATAGAGCTGCAAATTCTGTTGAATGGGCCTTTCGAAATCCACACTGGTATGGACTTAAAATGTTATGTTCCTTTAAATATTCACCGAGTTGCATATGGACAGCTCTTTCTAGCAACTTCTACACAATGGAAGGACGGAGATAGGCCTATAGCTATCTAGATCTTCAACCTTGCCCTTCTTAAATAGAAGAATTACTCATGCGGACTTCCAATCGTCTGGAACTATACCTTGCCGTAAGGAAGCGTTAATAATAGTGGTAAGTGGTGTAGCAACTATACATGCAGAGTCTTTCAGTAAACGTGGTGGAATATTATCCAGACCAACTGCCTTTCCAGTCTTGAGTCCACGAAGTTGTTTTAAAGTAAAACTCACCGGGATCTCTTTAAATTGAAATGTACTATGCTGTACTTGAGGTGGATCAAATGTTCTTGCAACAATCATACCGCCCAGGTCTGTGATAGAGTGCTCTGCCGACTCAAAAATATGGGTCACAGTACCAACGAAATACTTATTAAAAGCAGTAGCAATAGTTAGCATTTGTTTTGTTATTTTTGTAATCGTAACGTTAAAAATTTTACAGAAAATTTTTAGCCTTCGACCCAGGTTCCCAGAAAGAAAAAAAATTTTTCCACCCCTGAAACGTACATCATCACACATTCATACTTACGCATCATCAGCATTTAAATCTGCCAACACCCAGTCATTCATCGTTATAACTGGTGTTGTAGCACTATTGCAAAGTTTCAAACAATTTGCAATGCCACCACCGTTAAAGGTGTCAAGAAGTAAGTGCTTCAGTTTCTTTTTCTCCTCAAATGTTCTTCCAGCGTCATCCAAAACAAAAGGCAATGTACACTCATCGAGAACCTTTGTCTGCATTGCATCAGTTATTCGACGATAAAATACATTGCTTCTTCCCGTTAGAGCCAACATGCATTTTGCTGCATGTGATTTTCCAACATTTTTATCACCGATGGCAATTGTAACAGGCACCATCCCCTTTTCTTTCAAGCACGTTTCATAATTCATGCCAGTCATTGCCTGCCCTACAGTAAAAGAAAAAGGCTCTGCTGCAATAATCAAAGCAAGTCTTTCAAGAAATAATTTTGATAGCAGCAATCAGGTTTCATATACCGTCACTTCCTAGTGGGAGTCTGATGTTACACTGGTGTTCCGGCTTTGCAATGTCACACCATATATGGTCGTTCCCACCACGTCCTTGTTTATATAAGTGAGAGATCCATCGAATTTCGTGGTCTTCTGGGGAAATGAGCTCTCCATTCTCATTTATCTGGCAATCCTCAGATAACACCCAAATATCTTTCCTTCTGCTTTCCCAACTCTGTCGGCAGCAAGAACTTCTGTTTCCCTTTCTTCAATCATACATTCTCTATATAAGATATTAATTAACTTAAGTAATAACATTTTGTGTGTGTGGCAATTAAATTACAGCACCTTGCTATATGTATTTCTAATTTGATGTATTTCCAATATTTGAATTACCTATTATATGATTCTACGAGTTCCTGCATGAACTGCAGGAACTCGTTTTCTTTTATTAACAATGTCAGGTTGCCAAGTCCAGTGTTCTGATTAACTTCCTTTATAAAATCCTTCTTCAGTTGCAAACATTCATCTGGTAAAAAACATTTACCGCAAAATAACAAAAAAATGAAATAATCATTATATCACATTTCAGAATCACTGGCAGCTCTATTTAAAATACTGGCATTCTAATAGGCCCTTACAAGGTCTATCTCGAATATACTCCGCACCATTGCGTGTGCACCCCCTTCAAATTTACCTAAAGGGAATTGTATTGTGTTTCGCACCCCTTGCACTATTGTGTTTCGTTACGGCGTCGGAAACCTTGAAACCCCCTATTATATATCCAGTTTAGTACATGATATTAGATTTAAGCAGAATGTGTTAATTAATTGACATATGTTTACCGTTGCATATTGTCAAAAGATTGTTTAGCTTCTGCTATGAATCCAGTAGCTCCACCCACTGTTACCACATGTTTGATGAGACTCAGTCCAAAAGATGACTTTGGAAAAAAATTTTCTCCGTCGAGATAGCCAATCACATCATCTCTCGATGAATGACTTTGGCGGGCATTATCTATTAAATTGAGATATTTAAATATCATCAATTTTAAAAATGGCAAAAACAAATTTGAACTGCCAAAGTATAAAAAAAATAGCAGGTGAAATTCTATAGATAGATTTCATTTCATTTGCTTACCACAACTCATATATACTAGTCACTAGATCATTTAGTTGACTGAATACGTTTATATTTGAAATGTAAATCCAAGTTTACAAGTTTAAAAATAATAAAAATGCATATCATGAAAACATTGATTTTTACAATACGATTCATATGAGACATCGCCATTTTGGCAGTTCAATGAATAAAAATGGCTGGCTAAAATTTATTTCACCTGCCAAAACATCTTAGACTGGCAGGTCATATTTTTTTCTCTACTTCGAGCCCTGAATGTGTTCAATTCCATTTTGGGGACAGTTCCATTTTGCCATTGAATTGCACTTGTCTTTCTGCTAATTGCACAGGAAAAGATTTAGTAAAACCTATCATTTTTAGTTGCTGTTTAATTATGCAAGTTTACTATGTTATTGTTTATTCGGTTTAAATGTTAGAATTTTCTTCTTTAAACTTTAACGTTGTCGTCAGTACATCTGGAAAACCACGTAAGAACAAATTAAAAGTATTTTAAAAGAGACCAGGTTGTTTGAAAATCCTATACGAATGCTAAAAATCATAGAATCAAAACATTCTGGTGTCTGAGCCAGAGTGTCATCGAATTGTGATGTAGCTAATGTAAACAGAAATTATAGCAAGCTGATGTCAGTCAGCTTAGATGGTCCAAGCCAAAATTATATCGCATTTGAAGTTTCAAACTGTGTTAAAAATAGTGGAAGAAAAGCCGTAATTATACTTATTGTTACAATCCATTTATTAAAATGCAACATTTTTTTGTTTTAATGAAAAAATCAGTTATTTTCATGAGAACGATTTGTTATTCCATCTCAATTTTTTTAATCTCCAATCGCAATAACGTAAAGTATTATTACCCGCGAACCAATGAGTCAAATTTGAGAAACAACCCACTGTTAGAAAGCTGAATGGCTACGCTTTAAAATGAATGTAAAATTTAACGTTTTCGTCTATTATTTGTTTAGCAATTTACATTTCACTCGAGGATTGCGCTTTTTTTGATACACCCTGTATATATAGATATATATATAGATATATATATAGATATAGATATATAGATATATAGATATATAGATATATAGATATATAGATATATAGATATATAGATATATAGATATATAGATATATAGAGATATAGAGATATAGAGATATAGAGATATAGAGAGATAGAGAGATAGAGAGATAGAGATATAGAGAGATAGAGAGATAGAGAGATAGAGAGATAGAGAGATAGAGAGATAGAGATATAGATATAGATATATAGAGTTTCGCTTACCTCAAAATTCCGCAACAGTCTGTTTCATCAGTAAAGAATCATCAGGCGGTATATATATATAGATATATAGATATATAGATATATAGATAGATAGATAGATAGATATCTATCTATATATATATATCTATATATATATATATATATATATATATATATATATATATATATATATATATATATATATATATATATATATATATATATATATATATATATATATATCTATATATATATCTATATATATATCTATAATGCTTTTCCAGCAAATTAAAAATGGCTCGCGCACAAAATTTAAAAGTTTTAATCATATTTTGAGTTAATAGATGGAAACTTTGTTTGGTTTTTAATTACTGTCCAGAATTTCAGACAATTTGGTTTAGTTTAAGCCGTTTAACTATTCATTTTATTCTAAAAAATCAGCCTTTCGCATGCTTAATTAATGCATTTACCTACTTTGCATATTGCTAACATATGCAAATTAGGCAAATGCATTAATTAAGCATGCAAATAGCTGATTTTTAGGAAAAATGTAACTTTGCGTGAATACTTAAACGGCTTAAACTAAACCAAATTGTCTGAAATTTTGTACAGTAATTAAAAACCCGACCAATTTTCCATCTATTAACTCAAAATATGATTACAGCTTTTAAATTTTGTGCGCAAGCCATTTTTATTTTGTTGGAAAAGACACACCCCCCTGGTTCACCAAATTCGAGTTTGAGAATTTTTTTTCATTATTCTACATTATAAGTACCCAAAGAAGCTATATATATAAAAAACGGGATACAAATAGGTGTTTTGCGAAATTGAGAGCGATTTCAAATCTGTTCAGTTTTTTTTGATACACCCTGTATATGATTACCAAAATTAACAAAAATCTTTGTATTGAACCTGCTATATGATTACCAAAATTAACAAAAATCTTTGTATTGAACCTGCAAGTATACTGAATTCTTGAACAATTATTCTTAATTTTGTCACAAAAATTGGACAAATTGCAGGTTTATACTCCAGAGCAAATAGTGACAGCATGCAATACGGCCAGGCGATAAATGCCGAAGATATGGAAAATGTCTCACTGTGTAGTTTTCAGTATCTCACTTTCTAGTATATAATAAATATATATATATATATAGAATGTAGCTAGTACACTTAATTAGAAGGACTAACTGATCCTCTATACAGTATACAGTATACCACAGTAGGCTAATTCTCTGTAGTAGTAATGGTCATGACTACATGCACACCTACTGTGGCGAAGATAAGTTATAGATAACGAATGCATAACTTGAGGGCAAATATTCATGAACATCAAAAATGGGGAAATGCAAGATATTATGACTTTATGATACACGGCTATAGCCTATAGCCGGCACATCTATGCGAGGCATGCTATATATATCAGATATTGCCAATTACTATTCGCCTATGCCTAATTATGAGTTCATATAGACTGAACAGAATACAGACTGTAAGCCGGTTGCAAAGTTGCCAGAATTATTACACGCAAAAAATACATATATGCATGCCAACGAAGGCCACTAAATTCAAGAAATATATATTCAGCTCGTTTATTAAAGTTTATTTTTTGTATAACTCACGAATATGATATCAAAACTTGTAAATAGTTCAAGCATGCATTTCGAGGATCGTGAGGGAGAGGATCGAAAGAGTTAATTCAATCCGGCCTATGTACTTTCCCAGCTAAAACATTATGTCTGAATTGGCCCGACACACCGCTGACTTGCCAAATACTAGTCCCAGCATCAAAATTGCAGGTGCAAATTCCATTCCCATGCAATGGTTTAAATTTCACTGATTTTCCAAGTGGAAAAAATGGCAAACCCATGAAGCTCTCATTTATCCCTCTGACGACCCTAGGGCCTAGTAATATTTTGACGTGCAGCCTGTTTTGAAAAAGTTGGTGCTTGCCTGAGTTCTTTTTTTTCAGATTCAGAGCTAACCTTTCACTAGAAATTGAAACCGTCTTTTCTTAAAAGCCCGCTGAAGCGGAATTAGCTTCGAACTCTCACAGTTGAAAATGGATATATATATTGTCCATGAATATTATCATTAAAAATATTAACCGCAAAATAATATTAATAGTTGTGTACTTATGTCTGTATATCTGTATCCTGGTTACAAAGCGGTCCCTCGCGGGCTTGGTTAGTAGTCTGTGAAGCTACAACTACTATTAGATCAGTGCCCGACAGTGGGCTACACATTTCATGACACCACAGCCTGTGCCAAAATAAGCGGCAAACATTCAATGATATTTGCCAATTATAGTATCAAGATGTTGCATGTGGGGAAGACGGAATTTTAAGTTTGTTTCCTTATTACTATGCCACAAGTTATGCATATTTTTATGTTTCCGAAAGTAAGACTGATTGGATATATGATAATCCTAAACCCACGCCCGCATACTTGTGACGTCACATCAATAGTGATGCTATATTTAGATAGGAGTATAAAAGGTTTAAGCGCGGTTTGCCCACACAGACCAGTATCACTGAGAATC